TGCAGACTTCCCGTATTACTTTACGTGACGGTCATGCTAACGCTGCTTCAAAACAAAAAAAAGCAGGGAAATACAGATTCTCCACTATAACAGGGTAGCCTGTCTCCTTCAAGAGTTTTGGGATTTTCAGCCAACTACTTGACTGACAGTCAAGGCATAGTTCATGATAAAAATGGTTCTCCAGGAAGAAGCAAGTTGGGGAAAGCACCAGAGCCCTGTACTACTTCAGGCGGTGCAAGAAAGGTCACTGATTGAACCAGAGCCAGGAAAAGAGCTGGGGGCAAGCCTTACTGGAGAGGTGAAGGTGCACAGGCAGAAGAATATGGACACTGGGAGCTAGGGAAGTGTACACACAAAGTGGCACACTTCCATGGAAAGGGGTGGCTGTGTAATCCCTGGACCAATTGGGGAAGAAGTCCAAGCCCTGGCTGAGAAGTAGAAAAGACTTCAGGAGAGGGACTCCTCAGCAAGGCTGGGGTTGGAAAAGATCTTCAGATCTCTCCTTGGAACAGGGAGCCCAGCCCTGCCACAAAAGGATACTGGGAGTCTGAAGGGCAGAACGCTGCAGGAGCGCTATATTGAAAAGACTTAATAGACCAAATGCCATAAATACTCTGTACTAAATGGCTGCGACTAACAGAGAAAAAAGAGAGACAGAATGACTGCAATGCTCCTGGCCATCAGGTAGCATGTTCCTGGACTGTGCCTGCACCTCTACTAATCTCTTCATATTCTGTCTCAAGAGCATTTAAATGGTGTGAATAACTGTTCTTTTCCATCCTTAATTACAGGACACTATCTACTCTAAAAAAGGAAAAGAAAATTACTGGATAGGACTAAGGAAAGAAACAGAGGGATGGCGGTGGGTAGATGGATCACTGTTCACTAATGACATGTGAGTTACTCTAGTCGTGACTGCCTGGAGGGGTGGGGAGAAGCACATCTCTGATCAAAGCCAAGAAAAAAAACCCAAGCTAGCCCCAAAGCAGATTTGAGGAAGTATCTACATGCAAATGTATTTTAAATTTTTTTTTTTTCCAGCAAGCTGAGGACTTTTGCTAAACATAAAATGTTGTTGCTTGGCTTTGACTTTGGGAGGTATGCAGACATGCTTAGCATTTCTGTTGCTTAACTGAAACACCAAGTCCAGAATAGAAGCTGTTTTTTCTTGGGTTTCTTTTCAGAATTTTACTAGACGAAGAGGGGCAAAACATGGCCTGTGCATACCTAAATACAGTGGCTTTGGCTCCCATAGACTGCATGTCTTTGCGACACTGGATCTGCGTCAAGAAGTCCACTTGAGCTCTCTAGGTCAACAGAGCACAGCTTGTTCAAGTAAGGCACAGGTACAATTTGAGTGTAGTTTTCTATTTACCCCTGGGAAGGCTCCTCCAATTTACTGTCTTTGGGGGAAAAAAATGACTATCAGATTTTCTCCTGATGGGGAGTGTTCAGGTGTCTGCCATTGCTTTTGTGCATGGGTGTTGCAGCTTTTTGTAAGGTGTACCATCCTGGGTCATAGCAGTGGTCCATCTAGCCCAGTATTCTGTCCCCAGCTGTGAGAGAAGTGGGTGCTATACAGGGAAAGCACTGAAGCGGATTTTCTGAGTGTGATCTATCTATCCCCTTTCAATGACCTTCCTAACATCCACCATTTATTGATTTTAGAGTTCTCAATGGCAGCATCTCGCACCTTTGCAAATCATTGTGTAGTTGCATGATGTCATATTGAATGAAATAGTTTGAATGTTTGTAAAGGTTGCCCATTAGCCAGTTTCAGGAAGAAGATAGGATTTATCTCCTTATCTAAGTCATTGTTTTTGGGGCTACGTGTAAAATGTCCTGACTTCGCTTAATTTAAATGTTATCTTTAGAAGTCTTTTACAAAGAGAGCAAATATCCTGAATTCCGAGACATCAAAGCCTTTTAACCAAATTGGTAAGAAAAGGGTATTTACAGTGATATGGAAATCTCCCCAAGAATAATTTAAAATGCTCAACAAAGGTAATTTCAAAAGAATCTGTTGAGTAAGATCCGAGCCCAAATTTGGGAGTAATGACAAGTTGAGTAGGAGGAGCCCACTGACGGCAGCTCGCTCAATTAAAAACTGTAACCTACTGTCTCAATTTGGAGGTGACTTCACTTGCAGAACAACGAAGGAAGAATCGCAAGTGTAGCCCGGAACAGACTGATCACCTGATCCAACCTCTCCGTGAACACGAATCTCTTAGTTCACGCTGAAGCTGCAGAGCGCCCGAAAGGGACTGAAGGAAGGGGACTTAGTCCTATCACTGTTAAGCCCAGCTCATTGAATCGTATTGCTGAGGCGAGCCCATTAAATCGTACTACTGAGGAATGAAACCATATTTTGGTATTTGGCGTCTCGGAATTCTAGGATTGTAAGTATATAATGAAAATAATAGTATTGATTCAAATTTAACTTTTAGTTGTAATTGTAGTTGTTTTTGTAACACTAATTCTTATAGCATTGTTTGGGAAGGAAGTGCATTCGGAGCATTGTTTCTGATATATGTAATTATTGTGTTTTTAATGTTTGTGGTGTTTCTTAAAGCTAAGCAGTGTTATATACATAGCAAAGAGTTTTAAAATAAAATTGTGTTGTATGAATTAAGTGTGTAATCATTGTGAAATCGTGCAGTCAGCTAACTACTCCCCCAGCCAGTGCATCAAAACGAATCAGTAAATTGTGTGGGATTTTCTCTATTCCATAACCCACTAGAGACACATGACTATCTAGACTTACTGTTTCAGGGGCACTCTGGAGTGGCCAAAGAATTTCCAGCTGCCAGAGCCATGCCGTTGTTAATATTGCTTGGAGCAAAGTGAGCCAAAAGTAGGCACTCTTTAATTCTAATGTTGGGTGTGTAACAGATCACCTTCAGAGACCCTTGCCTCTTTGGAGAAGCTAACTCTAATGCCTAGAGTAGAATAGAACTGATACATTACTGTGACACACAGAACTAATTTGTTAACACAATGCAAAATACACTCATTCAAACACACTCAAGAATTTCTAGAGTTTTCATATCTGAAACGTTATTCTGGACACTGAAACAATAGAAAAGTTAAGGTAGCAAGGCTCTGTGGTGATGGTGAGGATCTGTGGGAACTGTTTCCTTTTTCTTATCAAACAATTTCACCTTGTTCAATTCGTGATTTCTTGTCTTTAGCGATGGGCCACTACTTCAGAAGCATTAATAATGATGCTGGTGCAGAAAGGTGGGAAGAAAACAAACAGAGAACTCCCAACTTTGCTTTCTGTTCCATGGGCTTCAGCTGTATTCTGGACTGTTAAATGTCTGACTTGAACACTATTTAATATTGGGAAAAAGACTTGCTTCACATGTTGTGGAAAACCACCGATTTTTAGATTAAGAGAATTTTTAAGATTTGTTGTGTGTGTGTGTGTATTTTTTTTTTTTTTTAAGTGTAAATCTCGATGTTCCTATTTTTATGTTAATGTTCTGTACTTTTTATGGTGAATGGCCAAAGTGGATGTTTTGTGCTTTGTTTATTATCTGTTTTCTATATGTTAGATTTGTTTCTCCTGCAAGAAACTCAAAACTACTAAAAAGTTCCCCACTTCATGCCTGTTTTTGTTGCTAAAGACAAGTCTGAGGCCCAGCAGTATCCTCCCTGGGAGGACACCTTTCTTGGTAACACGGGAACAATCTTGTTTTGAAGCAATAATGCTTACCACCAGTAAGGATGAGGACAGAAGTTATTTTTTTTTAATTTCAAAACAGTATTATTTCAGCACAGGAGGTGGGTACAACCTCTGCAGTCTGCTGTACTGCTTCAAAATTCCTCCCCAGCCATGGTATGCTCCAGCATTTTCTCTGGCAGCAATTTGGGGGCTACACTCAGCCTCTGAGTGCTACTGGCACTGAGGAGGACTTGGGGGGGGGGGGTAGTAGTAGCCAGAGGAATGGAGGGGCTTACCTGCCTCCAGTGATGGGAGTGGGGGGAGGTTACCCAGCTCTAGCTGAGACTGCCTGCAGTCTGCTTCTCTCCCTTCCCTTGCATTTATATGCAGGCGGGTGCAGTGAGTTGCTAGCAGACCTATGTGTCCCCATCACCCTCTACACCACATGCAATGTATGGAGCAGTGGTGCGCTTCAGTAAAGTGTCTAATTTAAACGGGTGCCATTTTGCAATGCTTCAAATAACGTTTTGTTTCCTGCTTAAATAGCCATGTGTTAGGTCCTTTACTTTAATTTCAACCTCTGTAGAAGTTTTTATTTTAAGTACTGGTAACTGCACATTTCAGCTGATGAATTACCTATGAGGTGTATTTCTGAGAATCAATTACTTAAACAACATAATCTTGTTTCTGTTGCTTGCTTCAGTATGTGAAATAGTTTCAAACTAGTAAACGAGCAGCAAGGCAAAATATTTAACAGATCTTTTGTAAAGATTCATGAATATTTGTATAAATAAGCCAGCATGTCCGAGTACTCATAGAAAAACAAAATGGTAGTACAGGTAGCAGGAAGAGCCAAAATCGCAGCTCCAGCATTTTCTCTGGCAGCAATTTGGGGGCTACACTCGGCCTCTGAGTGCTACTGCTCCTGGCACCAAGGAGGACTTGGGGGGGGGGGGGGGGGGGGGGGGGGAGTAGTAGTAGCCAGAGGAATTTTTTTTCCAACTATTTTAGTTGGTCTAATACAGGGGTGGGCAATTATTTTGAGCGGAGGTCTGCTTACCCAGTCTTGGCAGGCTGAGAGGGCTGCATAGGTAGACCCACCCCTTGGCAAGTGCCCCATCCCTTAACAGGTGTCCCAGTGTCAGGAGACCAATGTCCCAAGGCCAGTACCGGTGGGGCTCAAAGCAGGGTGCGGGCTGGCAGGGGTCCATGGAGCTGGGCCGGACTGCACCAGCAGGGAGCGGGGAGCTGGCCCTGCTCCATAGAGCCCCTGCCAGCTGGGACTCCATGCTCCTGCCACCCTGCTTTGGGCCCCACCAGCACTGGCCCCAGGACACCAGTGTGGGCCCTGTGCTCCCACTGGCACCCTGCCTGCTCACTCCCAGTACCCCACAGCTCTGTGGTACAGGCGGGGGGCAGCGCACAGCCCCAACCCCCTGCTCGCCAGCAGGGAAGAAACTGGTGCTGAGCATGGGGAAAAGTGGCCCCTCACCTGCCCCACGGCCGGCGTCCCGCGCTGCAGGCGCTCGCACCCTGCATGAGGCTGTCTGCAGAAGTCACAGGCAGCCCCAGGCAGGCTGCGAGCGGCCGCAGTGCGGGGCGCTGGCCATGGGGTGGGCGAGGGGCCACTTTTCCCCGCGCTCAGCACCAGCTTGTAACCCGGCCTCACTACCAGCCTGGCAGTGGGGCCCGGTTACAAGGTGCTGCTGAGTGCGGGTTGGGGGAGGAAAGCAGCCCCTCCCCTTCCCATGCCTGGTGCCCCGTGCTGCAGGTGCTCGCTGTCCGGATCGGGCACAGGCCAGGCATGGGTGGGGAGGGGCCGCTTCCACCCGCGCTCCTTCCTTGCCCGGGGTTCCCGCTCCCCCCCCCCCACCTTACCTGAGCTTCCTGGGCCGGGGCAGTCACGCTCCTAACCTAGAAACCCGGGAAGGGGTTTCCGGCTGGGGGATGGGGCCGGGCTGCCTGCTGTTGTTGGAGCCCACTGGGTCCTACTGCTCTTGGTTCCTGTCATTTTTTACAGGAACCAAGGGCAGAGAAATATTTTCCAAAATTTTCAGGGGCCCCCAGGGCGAGAGAGAACGGCCTCGCAGGCCGTTATTTGCCCACCCGTGGAAAAGATGGCTTGTAGTGGTGGTTTTACTAGTCTCACTGTATTTTTCTAGTTACTGAGCTTACAAGGGCTATGGAGCATGCCTCCTGGCCAGTTTGATTCTTTTTTGAGGATGACTTATCCCAGAAGCCAATATGCAACATGCTAATCAGTGAAAATGCAAATTGTGGCAGACAATGGGTGAGAAACAGGTAGAGGTGGATGGAGGAGAGTGCTGATGTATAGCTGGAGTCAGAGGTGACCAGAGCAGGGTGCAGGGCAAATTAGCCCATGCGGGGCCCCAACCTCATTCTGATCCCAGACCTGAAGAAGCTACTGCCACCACTGGCAGTAGTAGCAGCATTGGCGGCGGGTGGGGGTAGCGAGCCGCTGGATGCGGAGCCATCACTGCCCAGCTCCGCACCACTGCTGCTCCACCCAGCTCCGTGGGGCCCCCCAAAGTGCAGGACCTAGGGTGGTCACCCCAATTTGCCCCCCCTAGGGACAGCCCTGGGTGGAGTCTTTGGGTAGAGACACTATCTTTTATTAGGCCAACTAAGAATGAGCAAAAAAATGTATTTGCAAGCTTTTGAACACACACCATCCTTTTCAGGAAAAAAAAAAAGTCATACAGGAGTCTACATGACCACTAAATTAAAACATCCTTCATTTCACATTGTTATACATTTATGGCAATGCCATGCATCTGAGTAATTTTTCTAAGGCAGTTGTTTTATTCAGTTTTTTGTGCACCAAAACTGAGTAGTTCATTTTGACATTGTGTGTTGTGCTTTATTTATTAACGCACCGTGCAAACATTTAACAGGTCTATTTATTAATGCTTTATACTTTCATGTTTATAATGGGGTGTGGAGGGCCTCCAATTTTCTGTTTGCCCAGGGCCCCAATGAAGCTTAGTCTGCCTCTGGGATGGTTTGTAGGGGGCCGTTTGGATAGGGATGATTCTTTCTCAGGCCAGGGGTCAGACTAGATGACCTGTGCAGGCCCTTTGCAGCCCTACTTGTCTATGGCTGTGGTGCATTGACAGTCCACCGTTGCCTTATGGTTCTGTTCAACACGTTACTTCTCCCCCTAAGGCAGATCTGTCTCCCCACATCTCTCCAGCTCCTTGTGTGGATGCATGAGGCAAGGCCAGAAGCCTCCCACAGCCCAGAGGATGTTCTCCCAGCACTTTTCCCCCCCCCCCAAGCTGGTTACAAGGTGAATGTCTGTGTAACAGGGATAGTAGGGCACTCTCCTGTTTGTGCAGCCCACTTCCCTCTTTCCTGCCACGTCTTGACGTACTACTTAGATAAAGGATAATGTGGGAGGCTGCCTTACAGATGTGTCCTTAGGGTCTGTAGCATAAAGTGCATGGCTCCACCTTTCTTTACACCATGTCTGTTTCCCCCCTGGGATCTTAATGGCACTGGGCAACTGAGTCCTGCATGACTAACTGCGTCTTCGTTTAAACTCTGAACCAGGGCCTCAGTTTGATCCAATTGTCCATTTTTAGTCTTCCTACTGAAATTATAATTATTGCAACCCAGAATAACTCAAAACAAGGTGTCAATTTACCAACAAGTTCCCCCTTCTCTTGGGGACCTCTTTCTTGCTTGCAATACATGTTCTAACGAACTTAAAGTTACTGGCTGCACTTAGCCGGCTTATGCTTTTCCAGCTCAGTCTATTTTTTGTCAGGGATACTTTCCCAAGCTGTTATTCTTCACAGGCTGGGGCTAATCCTCTTTGTCAGCAATCCCCTTGTTCTGTCCTGGGAGCTGACTCCTGCACTTATGGCCAGGTCCTCCCTGATGGGATCTTCCCACCCCAGGGTGGGTCTCGATCCTTGGCAGGAGCCTGGTTCTCGATTCACTTTTCCTTTGTCCGAAATCTCTCTCTCTTGCTTTTTGCTCGCAGGTCTGGATGAAGTCTCCCCTCGGTGCTTAGCATGCACCGCCAGAGGACCAAGGACCAGCTTCTCCCTGCGTGGCTCCTGGGAGGACCGCTCCATCTTTTCCCTTCTCAGTTCCTCACACCAGCCCCGCAGGTCCTTGTACCTGCTCAGCCCCTTTTGGGGGTCACTCTTTTCTCCTTCGCAGCTCGGCGTCTCTTTTTTTTCCTTCTCAATCTCTGCATCTCGTTTTCCTTTTCCTTTCCCCCTGCATCTCTCCCCGCAGCCACTTTTAATCTTGCTGCCCCGCAGGACAAGTGTAGCGGGGCAAACTCAACTCCCTGCTACAGCCCCCGCCGGGGCATTTCTGGGGCGGAGCCAGGCTGGTGGC